CCCCCACTATTCCTTTTCCCGCTCATCTCTCATCACTTATTGTCAACAATTTTTAGTTTTGAATAAACCCCGATGCAGAAAACCCCTCTTTCCGCTTCCTTTAACATTATCCACCCTTTTCACGCTAAACTAACCAGAACTAGATATGTCCGGACAATGATTTTCAGGTCAGAAGCCATTCAGAAACCATTTTTAAGTCAAATATTTCTTTAAAAAATGATTTTTTGTCTATATTTTGTGAGAGGAGGGAAACAGTTTTCATCCAAAAAGGCTATAATTCTTGAAATTTATCCATTTTCAACTGAACAAATAGGGATATCATGTTTGTCCTTGCCCAGCTGGTTAAAAGGTTAACATTGTGAAATAGACCTGTCACTCTCTACAAATAGACCTGTCACTCTCCACAAATGAATTGTCACTTGAAATTTCATCTCTAGTCCCTTGTAGAGGGGGGAGGACATTTTCCGCTTTAAATCTGTCCATTTTGTTTAAATATTGTCACTAGTAATGGTGGCTTTTAAATACTTAAATACTTAACCTTCGGCCTACTCGGCCTACTACATAAGCCAAGGGCCTATATATAATCGTCGGCTTGAAGTAAAGATTACACAGATAGAACAAGATAAGTGGGATAAGGTCTGAGTGCATTTTACTTATTAGAGATGTACAGGAACTGGATTTGTGTAAATAAACAAACCCGGCCTTCCTACCCTGCCCCGGCGACATCTTTTTAACAATATTTGTTATTGTTCTGATTAAACTAGTTTTATAAACCCTATCCCTCCTACCTTTAAATATCTGTAAACTAGCCCGAAGGAGAAAGTCTAATTTATGTAATTCTATTTGCTTAACTTTGTGATCTCGTAGCTCCTTAAGTTTTGATTTTACGCGTAAGCATGATCGAAGAAAATGGTTACACACATTTGAAATTCAAAACATGTTTGTTTTCTCAATAGCTTTTAAAAAATACGAGTTCTGATTGAGAATATATAAGATTTTAAAACCTAGATAAATTTGACTAGATAGCTCATGTCGTCTTCACCATACCTGAGTGTTTCATCTCAAATAGATTCTAGTACAATAGATGGCAACTTAGAATTTTTACACTCTCAGTACAGTTGTATTCTGTCGTCACAAGTGTCAATTCAGTTTTTGTGTCCGACAAAATTATCAATAATAGTGATAATTTTAAAATAAAGTGCTTATCTTACAGTAAAATAAGTGCAATTTTATGAGTTCTTTAGTTTCTGTTTTTACACTTTTTTATTTAATCTTGGAAAATATGTCANAATAATAATAATAATAATAATAATAATAATAATAATAATAATAATAATAATAATAATAATAATAATAATAATAATAATAATAATAATAATAATAATAATAATAATAATAATAATAATAATAATAATAATAATAATAATAATAATAATAATAATAATAATAATAATAATAATAATAATAATAATAATAATAATAATAATAATAATAATAATAATAATAATAATAATAATAATAATAATAATAATAATAATAATAATAATAATAATAATAATAATAATAATAATAATAATAATAATAATAATAATAATAATAATAATAATAATAATAATAATAATAATAATAATAATAATAATAATAATAATAATAATAATAATAATAATAATAATAATAATAATAATAATAATAATAATAATAATAATAATAATAATAATAATAATAATAATAATAATAATAATAATAATAATAATAATAATAATAATAATAATAATAATAATAATAATAATAATAATAATAATAATAATAATAATAATAATAATAATAATAATAATAATAATAATAATAATAATAATAATAATAATAATAATAATAATAATAATAATAATAATAATAATAATAATAATAATAATAATAATAATAATAATAATAATAATAATGATATTAATAATAATAATAATAATAATGATAATGATTATAATAATAATAATAATAATAATAATAATAATAATAATAATTCTCTAGGACTCTACTGTGCGTATGGTCGGAAACCATTTAATTATCCCTGGTGGAACGAGAACCATTGATGCTACAGGTAAATATAATTAATTGATTATTTTTCTTAAATTAATTATTTTTTAATTCAATTAAGCATGAAGACCATTAATTAACCCCCACCCTGCAATAATATCATTAAACATCATAATTTTTGAAATTTTTCTAGTTTAGATATTTTTCATAATTTTCCCATGGTGACACCTGTTGTTCTTCATGATATTATATATTGTGTGTAGAGAGGGACATCAAGTCCGTTTTCTCACATTCACAGTTTTTTTTGGCTTTACAGGTTTCATAATAGAATCTGAGATGTTTTTTTCCACAGCAAAATCCGATTTTCTGTAATTTGTATAACATTATGCAAAATTGTTTATTTGACCATAGATACTAATAAAAATGGTTTATTAAAACGGTTTATCAAAATGGTTTATGAAAACAGTATATAAAAACGGTTTATGTTTATCAAAACGCAAAACAGTTGATCAATTAACGCAAAACGGTTTATCAAAACGGTTTTTCAAAACGGTTTTTCAAAACGGTTTATCAAAACGGTTTATCAAAATGGTTTATCAAAACGGTTTATCAAAGATTTATCAATTGTTTTGAATATAACTTACACATCTAAGATTTTTGTGAGACATTTTAAAACCAAACACACAGGTCTGCCACTTTAATAATTGTAAATTGGCGGTACAGTACAAACTGGGGCCGCAAAATTTGGCCCAGGTCGGATATTGAAATATAACCTAGAATGATATCGTTGCCCATCAATAAATTGTGTGTAGGGAAGTATATTATGCCTGGAGGTATTGATCTAAACGTACATCTACAGAGACCAGGATTTAATACACAGACTATAGATGATTTCTACCAGGTGAGTGCTCTACAGAGTTGGACCTTGAGTTTTAAATTTTAAAATATATCAACGTGTTTCTATTTAAAAAATGATTATTTTTAATTCACGCAGAGCAATGAAGAATGAACTTATTAACAAAGAAAAATTTCGATATCTTCCTAATTGTTACTCAGATAAAGGTTTGATAAAGGTACCGTTGTGAATTGGACATGTCTTTTTTTTATAAATAAAGGTTCAGTTGAAATTGCGTGTACAGTCCCTTTCAGGAGGAGTAAAAGAGGAAGAAGTTTGCATATTTTTTTGGGTTCCAAATAGATTTAGTAGTTTAAGACATAGTTCATGAAACAAGTTAAAACAAATTTTATATAAAATTACCGAAGACTACAAATTTCCTAAACAATTCCTTTATTAAAACTATATATTTAGGGAACTAAAGCAGCGCTGTCTGGTGGAACAACTATGGTGGTGGACAAGGTGGTCCCGGACAAAGGAGAGACCGCCAAGGAGGCCTTTGTCAAGTGGAGGAAGTGGGCCGATGATAAGGTAGGAGTACGTCCGAGCCGCGGTGTTGGATGGTTAACTAAATACTTAAAAAAATAACTTTAGTAGAATCAAACTCTAAATTTGTATTATAAGAAAATTTTAATTTTCCCAAATTTGCAGTTTTATGAAAAGTTTGAAAGCGATCTAAAATTGGCTCTGACAAGTCTTCGAATTATTATTCAACATAAAATTCTTAAGAAGACAAGGCGAGACCCGAAAATTTATTATTTTTTTGACTCGTTTCAAAATCACAAAATAAATTGTGTTAGAATAGAACTGTACAGTGTACAGTGTACATACAAACTATCTACATATCTAATACATTCTCTTTCTAAATAATCGAGCGTACAGTTTACATACAAACTATCTAAATATATAATACATTCTCTTTCTATATAATCAAGCTGTACAGTGTACATACAAACTATCTACATATCTAATACATTCTCTTTCTAAATAATCGAGCGTACAGTGTACATACAAACTATCTAAATATATAATACATTCTCCTACTATATAATCAAGCTGTACAGTGTACATACAAACTATCTACATATCTAGTACATTCTCTTTCTATATAATCGAGCTGTACAGTGTACATACAAACTATCTACATGTCTAGTACATTCTATTTCTATATAATCGAGCTGTACATTGTACATACAAACTATCTACATGTCTAGTACATTCTATTTCTATATAATCGAGCTGTACAGTGTACATACAAACTATCTACATTTATAATTCTTTCTCTTTCTATAACATATTTGTTTACAGCAGCTGTTGTCTTATTTAAGTCTACCCACATCATTTAACACTTTTTTAAATAACATTTAATTGAGACAAAATTCAATCTTCGGATTCTGGTATTTCACAAGTTTATCTTCATGAGAGAGCCATTTATTTAAATCATATCCTATCAATTAAAAAAGTGGGATTTGATAAAAAATATTTTTTTTTATCTAAAAAGTGACAAATCTCAGTTATTTTCTTGCTCCCTTTGTTGAAGCTCTCTGGGAGTTTCTTTATCAAAATTCCTGGATTTTAAATATTTTCCCTAATAACCGCACATCTTCAGTAAACCCTGTTTACCCTGCACATTGCTCAGAACACAGAGTACCCACCTTCTGTAAACAAACACATATTTACTAAATGTAACCCACACTGTTAGATTGTAAAAATATGCTTCCTTAAGTAAATTTTATTTAAAGTATCCAGATATGAGGCAGCACACTATTTTATTTTTAAAAGATTTTAGTTCAAACATATTTTTGTTTACAATCCTTATTGAAGCTTTTTATACCTTTCAAGGGCTGGATACTCTTAAATAATATTTTTCTAGTTTAATTGTGAACATTTTCTTTTTGTGTACATTGTAAAACAAAACAAAAAAGTTCGCGGATTTTAACAAAAAATTTCGTAGATTTTTTAAATTTTCAAAAATTTTATTTGACGTTTATTGGATACAAACAAACAGACACCCAGACTAGCAAATTGTTTTTAAAAAAGAGACCCATGTTTGAGAATTCGCATAAAGGAACTAGCTGTAAGTTTAATTTCAAATGAATCTTCCTGCAAAGATTGCAATGCACGATTTACAACGGTACCCTTGAAAGTTCCTTGAAAGCTTTGTCTGATCAAGTATGAATTAGATATGCATGTTTTTGTTTCTTTAATCCCTTTATTTTCATTTGTGGTTTCTCTGCGAAATTCTTGCGCATTTCTTGCTTATAAGAGGTTTTTTATCGCTTTTCTAGTCAGAAAACGACAATATCAACCAGATTTCAATCAAATTAAGGTTACACATACCGTTGTAAATCGGGCAATGCCATCTTTGCTCGAGGTTCACATCATTAAAAAATTCAAATAAAATCACATTTTTTAAATTTTTTAGAAATAAAATTTTTTTGATATTAAATTTTGGAAAAATGTATTTTCGACGATAAATTTGAGAAATATATATTTTCAGATGTGAAATATACGAAACATATATTTTCAGACGATAAATATATAAAAATGGTAACCCCGGTTAAACGTGTCCCAATTCATCTTCAAAGTGCACAAAACAGATTAATTATCAAGAATGGGACACTTGTCAATCATGACGGAGAAGAGGAGGTCGATATTTATATAGAGGTCAGTATACCAAGATATTGGAGGTCGATATTTATATAGAGGTTAGTATATCAAGATATAGGAGGTTGATATTTATATAGAGGTCAGTTCATCAAGATATAGGAGGTTGATATTTATATAGAGGTCAGTTATAAATCAAGATATAGGAGGTCTATATTTATATAGAGGTCAGTTAATCAAGATATAGGAGGTTGATATTTATATAGAGGTCAGTTAATCAAGATATAGGAGGTTGATATTTATATAGAGGTCAGTTAATCAAGATATAGGAGGTTGATATTTATATAGAGGTCAGTTAATCAAGATATAGGAGGTTGATATTTATATAGAGGTCAGTTAATCAAGATATAGGAGGTTGATATTTATATAGAGGTCAGTTAATCAAGATATAGGAGGTTGATATTTATATAGAGGTCAGTTAATCAAGATATAGGAGGTTGATATTTATATAGAGGTCAGTTAATCAAGATATAGGAGGTTGATATTTATATAGAGGTCAGTTAATCAAGATATAGGAGGTTGATATTTATATAGAGGTCAGTTAATCAAGATATAGGAGGTTGATATTTATATAGAGGTCAGTTAATCAAGATATAGGAGGT